AGATTTATTCTTTATGGCTCTGATACAGGAAAACTCTTGTTCCTGACTTAAAGCATGTGGGACAAATCGTGCTTAGATTTAAACATATGTTTGAGCTTTTTCTTGGCTTTAACCCTATTAGCTCACCAAGATACTGAGAGCTGATCATGCTTCTGTAGAACTTTTTCTGTGTGACAGAGTGAGCCTGGATTTTAATGTCATAGTTTCCAGGACCTCATTCACAGTTTAAATATATTATATAGGATTCCAGTAAAATCGTGCTTGCTTTGAATGAGACATAAAATACAGATGTAACTTTCATAGAAATGTTATTTTTTTTAATAAAACAACTTTATCCCATAACTTGTAATTTATGTACAGATATGACGAAAACTTTGAATTATTTGCAGCACAGATAAGTGATCTATTGAGCGAAAACTCTTGTTTTGTTTTGTAGAATAGATCAGAACACAGCCATTTCACCAAAAGAAGCAACTGAGCAATTTAACGGCTTAAATGAGGTAAGCTTAACCAAAAGCTGAAATATGAAGTTAAAAATTCTGCATTAGATGTTTGAGTTTTGTTAATTCTAAGGTCTTGGAATAATGCAATCACTTCGGAATCTTACGTTAGCTTTTTAATGAATCATTGTATTATGTTTTTGGAGAAAAGCTTAAAAATGTGGTACAAGACTGCTATAATATTTTAAAAGCCAGAAGCAAGAGATTTAAAAAATATTTTAAGCCAACTTTATGCCACTTTCTGTTTGTGCTCAGAAAAGAATTAAACATTTACTATTGACTGAGTGAAGTGGCATCTTTCAAGAACATTTAATTTTTTCCTCCTATTACAGCTCAAAAGTGTTCAGCTATCAATTACGTTTTGTTTAAAAACAAGGAGCTACGTCTTGCATAAAAAAACTATGAACAGTCCAATGTAATCTGAAAGGTACTCTTGTTGTAAGATGGGAGGAGGGGAGAGTTGGAGTGAAGAGGGGAAGCAGGGAAAGCCGAATAACACCTGTGACACTTGAAACAAGAGCTGTTTTCACAGGGAGTATGCCAGGAGGATAGTGTGAGAGTAGAGCACAAAGAAGCTGTTTGTGCGATCATGTCAAACAATGGATGAGCCTGGGCTGGATTCTCACGGTCAGCAATATACCAGAGGCCAAAACCAAGCTTCGCCATTATTCAAAATGGGAAACCTTATAAAGCATCTCGCACAACCAAAGTACCTGCATACTAGCCTAGAGTCTGCTTACACACTGCAAGGGCAATGGACAATACTGGACTTAAACAAGGAGCAGACAATGTTTTTAAGTGCAGACCAAGACAACAGAACAACAGAAGCAGCAGGAAAAAAAAGAGTTGGGGGGAAGGGAAGCCCATTCCTGTCAAACCATGGAAAAGACAGCTTTGTTCCTATAATGAGCCAGAGGACATCTATGTCTATTAATAGATGCCTGACTTTCATTAGGGGAAAACCGCAATGTGGCCTTTTAAAGGAATTCAGACTTAATCTTCTCCTTACAATGAGTTATTTCCTGCGTGTTTGTGTCATTGTTGTGCAGCTCACTATTGAAATTCTCAATGCTAACTAGTAAGGCACATTCCGTGACCGATATAAGGCAGTATACTTAGCCTCTGTCTAGCCAAGTAAGGCCCTGGGAGAAATTGTTTCCTTTGAGAAGCCCCATTGTAAATAATCACCAAAACTTCCATTTAAATTTCTTGCAAAGGACTCCTTGAAGGTTAAGATAAAATATTATAATAAATAAAATCAGTGTAAGATATTAAAACAGATAATTAGATCAGAAATTAAAATAAATTGATAATCATTTACGGGGAATGAGCAAGGGTTACATTCTGGTGCTTTCTTCTGCAAAATCTTAGATTGTATTGTGTTTCAGGTCTACCGCAAACCCAAATGGACATGTGTCACAAGAAAATAAATTCCCTTCTTGGATTAGAGAAAGTGGTGTCTCTCTTCACTGCTCACCCATGGCATTATACAGAGACCCAGGGCATATCTTGTTCTATCGTATTGTTGCTTGTTTGATCCCCATAAAGGAAGTTCTGAATTGAAAATGTCATATGCCTCAGGACACAAATATTGCCATAACAGATACCACAGAAATTTATTTACATTCACATAAAATATGCCTATCTTATTTTAACCTGAACTTCCAGATTAAAAAGCAAGGCTGATGCTATTTGTACAGCTGTTCTAATGTGACATATAAAAGCATTAATTTCCTCAGAGTGAAGAAATTGAACAGGTTGATATTTGCTCAGTTTCTTTTCTATATGAATCACTTCAAAGGCCATTAAATGCTGAAAGCTTGGATTATTCTCCTTCTCTGCCCCAGCTAATTTCTTAAATCCAGTAAATCCATAGAATAGCTGCCTTCCTGTCCTGGAGGGGCAGGAGCAGGTCCAGGGGCAAGGTGCAGACACCCTTAATATTCGGAGACACCGTGTGCGGGGCAGGGTGGTTTTGGTTTATGCAGAAAGCACCAAGTCTGAGCTTTGCTTCTCCTCCCTTCTCTCTGTCAGCCTCCAGACTGAGCCAAGGCAGGGTCCATGGGTGGGGCACACCTATTCCCTTTCCCTCTTCCCTCAGTTCTTCTTAAGTTTAACAGACCTTAGCATGTGTACAAGGATGAAGCAAAGGATGCTAATAATAGTAATGCTTTATCAGGGAAAGAAATTATTTCTAACAGCAGTGGCTCTCTTTTGGCTATCTGCTTTCTCTGCAGCTATGCAGTGAGCACTGACTGATTAGCAGGCTTGGCAGTGCCGTAGCTCTTGGTGCAATAAGGGAGAGTGTGGGGCTGCAGGGCTCCATTTGGCACGCTGTCTGCCATCAGGCTATGGGCCCCTGGATGTGCTGACCCACACGTCACATGGCACTGAACCTGCAGGGCCCCGTGCAGGGTCCTCCAGCTGGAAAGGGAGGTACTGAAGGAACCTACCGAGAAAAAGTTTATAAGCTATTTCAGGGGACTCTCACTCATTGCCACAGCATTTTGGTGATAAACTGGGAGAAATTTTCATTCAGTGTCCCATTCTTCAGAGGGATTTAGCAGTGTGAGTGTAGGTGTGTGGGATTTATCTCTAGATGTAAGAGGTTATCTATCATCTCAATAATTCCTTGCCCTAAGGACTCAACTCTTGATTTTCAATAATCATTGGATGGAGAAATGATCAGTGGGGTACAGTCTACAGCCTTACTTGTTTGTAAATATGGTTTCCTTACTACAGGCTGAGCTTCCCCTGCTAATGGCAATCCTTTTGTACTGCGTTTTTCCCAGCAGGCAAGAGTATGATACTTTGATGACTATGTTTTCTTAAAGCGTTAGCAGAAGTAACAAATAAGAGAGAAGTGCCACACTGTCTGTCTCTCTGTTTTCCTCACACTTCCTGTAAATGTCTTTATTTCTCTGTTATCTTTGATCTGGAATAATGCAGGATGATTTTTCTTGTTCTAGCAGAATTGGCATAGCTCATGTTCTTTGTATTGCCAGTTACTTTAAGAGGACATAAGAAAAGAAACCTTTGTCCAAGACAATTGTAATGGCTTCTTTCTCAAACTTGCAAAATACTATTTGTAAGAGGCAACAATATGGTTATTTTTCTGAAGAAACTTAAGGATCCATTTTAAATATTAGTATGTCCTTTCATTTACATTAGCGTGGATGAGGAATTACTGCATCAGATTCACTAGTGTTAGGCATCAGAGTAAAGCTGGAATGAGCATAAAGTCTGGAGTATTTGAATTGAGATCATTAGCTGATATAATATGTCATAGCTTAAATTACTTCAGTGATACTGGCTTTCCACATAAAAGCTTACTAAAATTTATGGTGGTATCCACCATGACCTAACATTTCCCTCTCCATGTATTTTAGCTGTTTGTACTTGCTTCTAACATGTTTTACAGCTTTTATATGGCCAAGAGCAGAGATGGCCCAGCTGGGCCCCAGTGGCAGGTCTGCACCATGGGAGAGTTTTGAGTAGCATATGCACAGGCTGGTTCACCTCCAGGTTAGATGTATTGCTGAGTGTGTGCAGTATAGAAAAGTACACATCCCCACCACTGTGTCAGGAGGCCTGCAGACACATCAGGGCTGTACAGGTACTGGAAAGAATTGGAGAATTAGGTGGAAGCTGGAAGTGGTGAGTAAGATTTCACATGAACTTGGGATGTTTGAGAAGATGAAGACAGAGATCAGACTTTATTTTTCTCTCCTCCTGCCTTCCTTTTGCCAGCAGTTGGTAGCATATTGACCTGCCCCCAGTGAGCCCCAAGGATAGAGAAACCTGCTGCCAGCTGCTGCTATATGGCCGTGTCCTCTCCCAGAGCATGTTCCTGCTCTGCTTGGGCTGCAGTTGCAGAAACAGGGGGCTGCACTGCTTCTGCCACAGAGTGGGAGGTCCAAGGCTGGCAGGATCCAGCTCAACTGCTCTGGCACTGCTTTTACTTCAAGCAGCCCTCTGAGAGGGGCAGAACAGGATACGCGGCAGGGCAAGCAGCAGGGTCATCCCTACCATTTACTGGGATGCTCCTGTTCCTCAGGAGCTGGTGACCCTGGGCAGCTTCATGTTTGGCCTTTGCTTAAAGCTGTGTCTTCTTACCTATGTTCCCATAAACTCATGGTGGCTTTTCACCTATAGTGCGCTGTGGCAGTACCATATTACTCAGCTGTGCTTTAGCAGTAAGATGAGGTTGGTGGCATACTCTAGATCCATGATCTCCCTGGTAACACCAAAATGATCAATTTTACTTACGCTTTTTCTCCCTATATCAAAGCCCTGTCAAGGGCACATTCACAAAATTATATAAGGTATTTATATTATTATTATATGATTTTTTTTTAGTATTTGCCAGTGAGTGGAAATATGCCATCCACCCACCTTCCACCGATGGGTGAAAAATATTGTTTAAAGCAAATGAATATAAACAGAATAAGCATTGCTGAAATTCAGTGTTTAACAGTGTAGTCTGTGTGAATGCTTTTATACTGAACTTGTCATGAATATTTATGTATTATAAGAAATAGTGATGCAAAGTAAATGTATTTTCTTGATACGGGATTTTTTTTTGTCAAATGCTTAAAGTAACAGTCCTTGAAGTTTAGGTATTTTTGTCAGTCATTCGGCTATATTTGCCTTCTTGATATGTTCTTCTAGTACGGTTGCCTGTGTTCTCCTTACTTGCGATCAGCAGTTCTCATGATAAGGTCTGGGCTGGGATCAGAGTCCTCACTGGTTTGTGACTGGTATAGTCATCTTTTGATAGATGACTTTAATGACTAAAATCCTGCCCATCTGTTGTAATAATTCCACAGCCACTTTGTTTGGGTCTAGCTGGGATGAGAGGCAGTGGAAAATGAGGCCTGTCATGTCATGAAAACCCTTCCCAAAACAGTGCCAAGGGTACAACTCAAGTCAGCACCCTTCTCTTGACAGGGAAAATTCACTGCCACTTGAAAGCTGTTGAAGGTGAGACAGTTTCCATCATTCTGTCTCTAACTGAAGAAAGCCCTGTAGAGGATTAAAGGGGAATTTGAAAGTACCTCTTAAAAGATGCTCAAATTGGTGTTAAAGAGCCTACTAAATACATGAAAAGCAGGAAGCCAGGTTACTGCTGGGACTGACATGTAAAATGGGCACTGAGGCGATATGGCTGTGAACAGAGAAGCTGAGTGAATTCGTTATACTGGTGTGTTCTCTGATAAAGCCCATGTTGGGGACATTTGCACGCTTTTCTAGCAGACAAGTCAAAGGAATCTGTGCTTGATCTTGTGATCACTTCTTTCCTGATATTATAGGATAAGATGTCAGAATGTGTCTTAACAACAGATGAGAAGAACTTAATTCTAAAATAAATGTACAACACAAGCCACTTTTTTTCTCACATATCTCTAAGATCAAGCTGTTTCTAGTAGGAATGGCTAGAGCTCCTGTTTGCTCTGGGACCACAAGAAAGGTGTTCCTGGATTTCCTTTTAGACCTAATTTGAGGCCAAAGTCCAAGTGTTTGTTTTGTGGAATGGGATATAGATTTTGAAGCACTCCTGACAGCACATAGACGGTCACAGTATCTAGTTATGGTGATCTTGTGCTTTTTTGAAACTTCCCTGTTTTGAGGTGTCTCCTAAAAGAGCTACTTTCTGCTCCCTTTTCATCACCTGAATTTTATAAAAGGAGTGAAAGAATTGAGGCTGAAGGTCTTCCCTGCTGTTCTCAGCCGAATTAGTTTCTTTTTTTTATTTTTTTACCTAAACCACTGACATCCTTGAGTTTCTAAAAGGGCTGTATTACAATAAAAATCATGCAAAGACATACTAAGCTACTCACTACACACGAAGGAAATTGTTACAATAAATAAATTAATTATTTTGTTAAATGAATAGTTTCAGGCCTTTGACAGAGAGGGGAAAGGAGCTTTTCAGGATGTAAACTTGAGGAATTTTTTTTTCTGTTGCAATTCAGATTTTTTTTTCAGAAAATGCTCTTCACAAATATGTACCATTTGTATGACTTAACATTTTACATATATTCTGTGTGTTTATTAAGTGTGTGTGATTATTAAGACAGCCTTGTGTGATTTTGTTTTATGTTACAAGCTGTATTTCCCTTGAGAGAGGGGAACTGAATGAGCGGGGCATCGGTAGTGACTCATTTTGCCCAGTCAGATGGTGATTAGGGCTTTCACAGCATTTACATCACAGCAAGATGCTTGTGTCAGATTGTACAGCTGAGTATTGCATGCAGCGTTAAGGATTACAATGAGAAATGGACCAAGCATGACACAGTAGCTGGAAGTGATGATGCTGTAGATAATGTGCCTTGTACTCACTGGTTTGTCTGCAGCAAGTGACAAATATCTGTTAATTTCACCTTAGCAGCAGATAGAAAATGATACAGTTGCCCTGTAGAAGCAGCAGCAGCCTACATAAAAGCTATGTCTACATAAAGAAATATCTCGTGAAAAGCCAATTAAAAAATATCTTTTCCAAGAATCCCATGAGAAAGCATGTTCTCAGTAACTCTTTGTTCACTGCCATGTACTGAACTCACTGGCTGGAGACTGAGATTTGTTTTTTTTATGAATGGTAAATGGGGAGGGACATAATGTCATCAGATCGTGATGTCAGCCCAATGAATGAAATACTTGCTTAATGTATTGCTTCAAGACAAAGAATAGGGACACCACCTCAGTTTGGCTTCCTA